CTTTATGGCTTTTCATTTACTATGATGTACAGTAACTGTGTACTAGAAATTATCATATCCAAATGTGAAGATACAATGCAGTATGCACCTGTACTTCCAGATCAAAGATCTGAATGAAACTGTGAAATACATCTTGACAATAGGATGCTGGACTGTCTGCTGTTGTCCATGCCCGCCATATCGGGATTCAGTTAAATAGCAGAACTATGGACTTATGACTGCTTATGAAGAACTAACTATATTATCATAATAATATAAGGGAACTCAGTGGGGGTGGTAAGGAAGGAGTTTGGGGAGGGAGTAATCCTAGAGTTTATGGAATTATATGGTAAAATAATAACAAAGTCTAAAATTAAAAAAAAATCTAAATTGATAGTATACTTTGAGAGAGTTTTTCTTTTCTCAAAGAAACAGTGAATATTTGGAATGAGGGTAAATGAAAAAGAAAGTGATACTATAGTGAGGACACAGCTATGGTCTGAGACATTCTGCTGGATGCATCGTGGTTGCAGTGTCTCGTAAAGGCAAAGTACTCCCTTTGAGGAGTGTTTTCCCATAGTTAAGTCAAGAGAAATCATAGCATTGGAGTCACACAAGAGTTTTCTTAATGGATAACATTCTCTTTTGTAAAGGAGTTCTGTGCTTACCAAGCGGTAAGACTTGACCACCAACGACTTTATGCTTGCCTTATCCATGCATGTCCACCCCCCTGCCTCCCACCCTTAAACCCCAAAGTCATTCCCTCCTTATTCCAGTCTGTTCCAGAATTAGTGGCTAAGTATCTGCCCTCATCTCATTACCTGGCCAATAGCCTTAAGTAGCCAGCCACAGGTCTAATGTAAGTACACAGTTGCCTTTGGAGGGAAGCTCACCTTGTAGTGGCACAAATTGGGGTTTTAGGGAAAGGCATCAATAGAGCCAAATAGTTTCTAAATCTTAAATGTGGCCACACCTAACTCAATTAGAGTCATGGAATATCAGATTGTTAATTAATCGAGTTGAAGTTGAGATAATAATTCATGTCAGTTTGCTATAATTATTTACTGTAATTAAAGTCTATACAGTAAATCAGGATAAAATAAAAAAAAAAAGCTGTTAAATCATATGATACTAATACTTTTAGCCAAGAAATTTCAGTTTTTACTTATTGGCTTCTACTTATGCAGCATTTGATCCAACTGCATTATACTGTTTACTCAAAGGAATTTTCTGCAGTGTCTTAATAATAACTTTTCAAAGGGGAAAGAGCTTTCTGTCTTATACCCTCCGTGTAATAAGGATATAAAAATAATGCTAACAAAAAAGTTAAAGAAGAAACATCGGGGCTCAATAAGATTTCTGATGCCTGAGAAGTCTGCCTCTCGTATCGAAGTGTTTGGTTGGACTTCTGACTTTGGATTTAATCTCAGCTTCCTGCTGTCCCGGGCTCTGATTCTCATACACATCAGTAGGAGCTGGAGCCCAGCAGGGCTACTCGCTGGGAAGGCGATAGGAGATGATTTAGGGACTTGGAACTCTGTCAAGTGGGAGCCAGGAATGAAGTTCTGGGATTCTGGCTTTGGCCTGGTTCAGACGTGGCTGTTGTGGCAGGTTGAGGAAAGAACCAATGAACCGAGTATCTTTCCCTCTATGAATTGTTCTGCCTTTCAAATAAATAAATACATTAATAATCTATTGGAAATGCCATTTCTGTGTAAATTCAAAGACATGAAGTCTGAGTCAGGCATCATAAGACTATCTTAGAGAAACAGGTAAAGAGGAAACCTATGGGAGTAGGGGTGCTCAGTCGCAGAGGACAAACAGGAGAAAATGCTGCGTTGGGTCTCCTTGCCACAACTTCCCACTCTGAGAAGCTCAAGTTCATTTTCACATATCATGAACATTTTAAGTCAGAAATAAAATGCTTAAATTTCTTCCCATGATTTCCATCCCCTTGACTAGTTTTGGCCGTGTTCTCTTAAGGATGTCAGTCAGGTTGTCAGTGCCCACTAAGGGTGATTTTCAGATGACAGTAACTTAATCAGAAACCACTGGACACCTCCTGGACACGTCGGAGAGGCCGGAGTCAGGGGCAGGTGTGTCAACACTTGTGTGAGGCAGACAAGGTCAGGTAAAAATAATGGAAGACACACTTATGCTTTAAAAAATAAAAAAATATGTGCCCAAGATAACAGTGTTAATGAAGTTCGTACTGATTTTAGCTAACATCCTGTCGATCTGTAGCTTCTCCCAAAACACGCTTTGCCATGGATTTGCCCAAGGAAGGACCTTCTGGAACAACACTGCTTCTGATCCTCTAGCTTATCGGTGAGCCGCACGTATCAACAATGTCAGACAGACCACCGATGTTCCAAACACGGAGTGGTCCCATTAGTTGTCCATGCTTGAATATTTTCTCTTTCTTTCTACTAAACAGCATTCCTACTAAAAAGATGATACATGTTGAAACAGTTTTAATTCCATTTGTTTGGTCACCAGTTGCCATTTTTCTCCAGGTGAAAACACACGAAGAGAGATTTTACATTTCCCGTCGCAAACGTCCTTTCCTTCTCTCCAAGGTATATTTCATTAAGGCAGTTATTTAAAATAACCTCAAGTTAAATCAGCTGGTGGAACTTCTCAGTGATAAAAACTGTCATGAATTTTTAAAGCGATATGCTCTTCATTTTTATGGTCTATCCCTATTGTATGTGAATTCAGGTAACCTGTTTCCTATTCAATTTTACGTTTCTCAGACTTACGACACATATCCATGTCTTATCCTTAATGTTCTCCTACAAAGTAATGGAACATCTATTCTTCTGGAGCCTAGAATATGAATTCGTGAAATTGGAGGATAAAATAACAGGACATGAAAAGTCAGATTTAGAGATAATTTCCACCATTGCATAATGAAATTGGAAACAAGACTTCCACTTTAACATTTAGGACCCCTAGAGTTTTTGGTTTTGTTTCTTTCACACTGTCTAAGTTCCATGTGCCATTTCTCCTGGGCCACTTTACCAGCTTCACTGATCAGATGATTCCGGAAGAAGCTGGCTTCTCTTGATCAGGTGGACTTTTTGGGATTGCTTTTGCTACTGGAGCTACTGAGTGAGACTATAAACGCTGTGTCCCAGGAAGTTGAGTATGGCCCACCATCTGGTTGCTGTGCCGTCTGCTGCAGGTGGCTTCTGGTGGGGCATCTTGAATATCCTTTGGCGGGATGCAAGGGAGAGGGTGTAGGGAACTCCTCCATGTGAGTTAAACCTCCTGGAGCTGCTCTGTCCTTCAGTGTAGCAACACTGTTGTGCTCAAGGTGGGTGATGGTGTGAGCCTCCTTATCTGTTCAAGCCAGCAGGTAGAAATAGCCTTTTCTTACAGTCCCTCCAAATGGACCATTTTGTAATAACACCTTAGTGTGTACATGGCCCTCCACAAATCGTCTAATGTTGAGAACATGTCTGCTTCAAGAACGTAGCTCCCTCGTTGGGATGGCACTAAGTATGTGCTTCTCTGTGGTTAATGACAGTAAAACACCCATCCAACTCTAATTTGGTAGCAGCCCACCCGTTATGAGTGTGTGTGGGGAAGTGTCAGTTATGCTTTTTTTCTCAGTTTTAAGTTGGAATCTCAGTGTGCCTCTCCTCAAGCCCTTTGCTTGCACAATTCCTGCAGAATGTCTCTCTTAGAGAAAAAGAAGCCATGAAAGGTACCCATTACATCGCTCGATTCCTGTTCTGCAGCTCAGAATCCTCCGGAAACCCATCTGCATTTCCGGAAGCATCTGCATTGCCTTTTGTTGTCTGACTTTGTGCTTCTGGTTTAGGGGCCATTTCTTCTTTGCAATGATATGAAGCAACAGCAGTTTAGTTTTACTGAGACACACCATGATTTATAGAGAAAAAAAAATCTCTGTTTAGCAGTCTCAAAATTTTCACTTCAGGCCATGAACAATAGTCAGAGAATCTCACTTTTTTGCTTAAACAATCTACTTGTTTCTCAAGCACACACAATTTGTATATTCCCTGACGTCTACTGTGGGTCCCAGAAGATCTGATCCATACGAATGGTTCCAATCCCTTCTCCCACTGTTCTCTCCCGAGGTTTGTGTGGCAGATGGACTATTCAGTCTTTTTAAAAAGAGCTATTTATTTGCTAGTCGGTGTGACTCAAAGAGGAAGACACGCCCAGAGGTTTTGTGTATGCTCTTCCACTCCCCAGTGGGTTGCAATTGCCCTGACTAGGTCAGACTGAAGCCAAGAGCCAAGCCTTCCTCTGGGTCTCCCACCAGGATGGTGAGGGCCCAAGTACTTGGATCACCCTCTGTTGCTTTCTTATGTACATTGTTAGGGAGCTGCAACAGAAGAAGGGTCAGGAATCGAACCATACTTTGAGTGTAGGGCACTGTTTCCGTAAGCAGTGGCTTAACTTGCTGTGCCGCAATGCCATCCAATTTCAATTTTCTTTAAAAACTTACAAATTGATGCCTTACCTCGGAGCTTCTGCACACACTGCTGCTTGTGCTACCCTGAACATCTTTTAGCTCTCCTCCTTCGCGTGGATACATTCTCATTTCAAATCTCATCTTGAGTGTTTGCGCCTTCTCTATCAGACACCACAAGCTTGCTCTCTAAATTTAATTCTTGTATTACTGTGATTTGGATTTTTTAAAACCTTCATTACACTTATCATTCTTACCAGGGTTTTTTTTTTATCTATTTTTTCAATTTTTGTTTTATGTCTAGCAGAATGAAGGTTTCCTAAAGTCAGGTATGGCATAGTTTTCTAGACCGCTGTATTCCTGGCTTCTAATAACACTATGAAAATTCAGATCTATCTCTTTGAATAAGAGACTGAAGTCCAGCACCTAGAGTGGTGTAAGTACTTCACAAATATAGGCTAGTATCATTTTTGTAAAATCTAAATCTCACATAATTAAGGTGTGATCTCTTTGAGACTCTTTCCTGCAAGGAAGCAGACTGTTCCACTTCATCTCACATGTGACATTGAAACTGTAGGACCCTTCAAGAGAAGTGCAAGTGAACGCTTAAAGGAACTTGGAGGTGCAGCCACAGATCCCATCGCTGTTGAGAAGTGGGGTGAGGTAAGGGCTGGCAGTGATGCAGGAGCCACCCCATTGAAAAATGGAGGAAAGAAATCTTCAGCAAGAAGTGTCAGAGTGAATGGACCTATTGCCCACAGTTACGTGGAAAGTAGAAAATATACCTAATGAGCTGGGTAATTGAGCTAAGAAGATTCCCAACCAGAGGATTGTAACAATGCTGCCTGGTTTCTTCTTGTTACTTATTATAAAATGTGAAAAAATGAACTATAGAAAGGACTGTTATCCCAAATGAGTCATGACTGCATGGCTTTGGAAAGTTTCAGTCTTTCAGTGTCGTCCACAAGCTAGAGTAAGAAGGAGATTCTAAGAAAAAGGTCAGATGCCAGAAAAATACGGCTCGAAAATGAGAAAAGAATGTCAAAAACAAATCGTCAATTAATACGCCATAAACATCAAAAGTCAGTCCCCAGAATACTGTTTATTCAGACAAAGACATGCAAAACAGATTAAGGGTGTGTCTCAGCATTACACTCAACCAAACTATAAGATCTTCATGTTGATTAAGGGGATAGCCCCCCATTTTCTCAGTGCAAATCCAAGATACATATGATTTAGATTTGACCACACTGATGTCTTTAGCTCATGTGTCAATGGAAGGGACACCTACAAGATTCACAGAAGACTCACGCATTGTATTATGTTTTGCTTTTTACTTAAAAAACACGTATTTTATAATATAGTTCCATAACCTGTGGGATTTTACCTGTTCCTCTTCTCAAATTCCCTTCCCCCCTAATGATTTTCCCTATATTTTACATTAGTATAGTCCTTCAAACACACCAGAAGTCCATTCTTTGCTATTTAAGTGTATCCTGACATTGTAGGTATGGACAATGGCAGACAGTCCAGCATATTGTTACTTAGGTATATTTAGCAGTTTCTTTGGGAGTCCATCCTTGGGAGTAGAGATACACAATTTTAAAGGAATTATTTGAGGGAGCTTAAAAAGTTAATTGAAAATATTATTGTGAAATAATTTTGCACAAGTTCAAAACTGTATTGCACCAAGATGAAATCCAACAAATTTGTTGTTACACGCCTGAAGAAATATTGGTTTGAGCTGTTAAAAAGAGTAAAATAGGGTCTACCACGGTAGCCTAGCGGCTAAAGTCACTGCCTTGCATGTGTCAGGATCCCACATGGGTGCTGATTCTAATCCTGGCAACCCCACTTCCCATCTAGCTCTCTGCTTGTGGCCTGGGAAAGCTGTCAAGGATGGCCCAAGGCATTGAGATCTCTTCCAGGTGTGGGAGACCTGGAAGAGGCAAAAGCTCCTGGCTTTAGATCTACGGAATTCTGGCCATTGAGGTCACTTGGGAAAAGTGAATCAACAGATGGAAGATCTTTGTCTCTCCTCCTTTCTCTGTATCTTTGATGCTTTAAGCACAGTTTATGAGGATAATCCCCCCAAATATTTTTGTTTGTTTGTTTGCTTTAAGAATGGGAAAGACTCGAAGATGAAATCCTAACCCTAACCCTAATGTGTTGAAGACCATCCGCGTCAATTGGTGAGGAAACAGTTAATTTGGACAAAGCCCAAATGGAGGGGGATGGGTAACAAACAGAAAAAAACATCAGCAACATGGAAATCTTGCACAATTCTGAGTGAAAAACTACAACGGAGCAATGTTTCTGATTAATCATGGTCAAACTATTGCAGCCAGATCCACTACAAACAATAGTGTTGATTTTTTAAAAAAGATTTATTTATTTTTATTGGAAAGGCAGATTTACAGAGAGGCGGAGAGATAGAGAGGAAGATCTGTTCAATGGTTCACTCCCCAAGTGGCTGGAGCAAGGGCTGGAGCTGAGCCAGTCCGAAGCCAGGAGCCAGGAGCTTCCACTGGGTCTCCCATGAGGGTGCAGGGTCCCAAGGCTTTGGGCCCAAGGCTCCAAGGTCACAAGCAGGGAGCTGGATGGGAAGCAGGGCTGCTGGGATTAGAACGAGCACCCATATGGGATCATGGCATGTTCAAGGTGAGAACTTTAACTGCTACACTATAGTGCGGGGCTCCAGACAACAGTGTTTCCAGTGAACATTCCCCACAAGTGGAACCAAGCTTCCCGAGGCCTTTATTTTAAGATTTGTGATAGGAACTAAAAGATGATTTTGTCAGTGTTATCTCCAGACAAGAGTCAGTTAGCGTAATGGTTACTAAGCACCGGAAGTGGTCCAGTTAAAGCAAAAATGAGGGGCTGCAGTGGTAGCACCGTAGGCTAATCTTCCACCTACATCACCAGCATCCAAGCTGTTCCTCTTTCAGTCCAGCTCTCTGTGTATGACCTGGGAAAATAATGAAAGATGGCCCAAGTCCTGGGGACCCTGCACCCATGTGGGAGACTTGGAGGAGACTCCTGGCTCCTGGCTCCTGGCTTTACATCAGCTCAACTCTAGCTGTTGCAGCCATTCGGGGGAGTGAACCAGTGGATGGTTCCTGAATGAAAAGAAAAGTTCAGAACCTGAAGCTGAGGAGTGATTCCCAGAGTTGATGCTTTATCAATGTTTGCCTGTGTGAAATAGACAACCCTGAAGACTTGTGGTCCCATCTCCTTGTCCATCCCTTTGTGTGGTCCCATGAACATTAGCGAAGTTGGTCTGTACAGTCGCAGGTTAGGACTGCAGTTGTCATCCTCAGCTCTTTGCCACCCTTCCACTCTCTTTCTCTCAGTTTCACCAAATATGTTGATATTTGCTGGTATGGGGGTCCTTTCAAGACATTTTCAGGAGTATTATTAATAATACTAATTTAGAGCCTGCATAAGATACTCTTAGCTTATTCTTCTTGTCCAGCATAATTATTTCCCCTCTGTTCCCTTATTATCTTGTATTAGATGACATATAATTAATATCTTTCAAATTCAGCCTTATGTTTATGATCCCATTCTAAAATTACATGGCTATATGGAATGGTATATGTGTTTACAGAGGAGTCGGAGATTCAGGAAGAGGACAAAGTAGGAAAAGACAAAGAAATCTGAGATTATTATCAATGTGTTCTTCTTCCTCCTTTTGTGATGTTGGTTGCCTTTCCCTCTATTTTTTTTTTCTGGACAAAAAGGAAATAATCAAGTGAGAAAAGTTGGGTACCATAGTAAGATGGCTTCCGTAGGTACAATCCACAGTTTTTGCTTACCTGTGGGAGCTTTCACAGTTGAGTGTCAATGTATGCTGATCCTAGTTTAAAAAGCAACTTTTACATGATTGTTATAAGTGTGTCTTACGCCAGTTTCATCTTATTTCCATTTTTCTTTCATGCAGGATCTGAAATTTGAGGGGGAAGAATTCAACCAGTACATCCCCATGTCCCATTTGAAGATGGACAGAATCTTTGGGAGGTGTGTTCCTCAATGATAGACATAATGCATCTTGTTTGAGTATTCATGTGCTTTCTATAGATTAAATATGGGCAAATTATGTCTGTTCCTGGTCCCCCCCCCCCAAGGTTGATGTATAGTACCAGTAAAAAGTTTAGGAACCATGACACCATTTCCCATGCCTCTTTGTGCATGTGATGTCTGGGGAGGAGGAAGTGTGGTCGTGATATTACAACTGGGAGTGATGTCTTGGGGATTTCTGAGAAAGTATCTAAGCTCTCACTCCAGTGTAGGAGTGGCATTTGCTACCCCCTTGTTTCATGGGTGCAGTATTAGCAGGAGCAGGATTGCCGGAAATTCTCAAGCTGGATGATCTCACTTTGAATCTTACCCAGCAAAATCAATGTGCCTTAGTATCAGGTTTTCATCAGCTGATCAGAAAGAATGGGAATAATAACTTGCTGCGTTAGTTTCAGCATTAAATCAGATGAGAAGCACAACACATTGAAAGATTCCCATGAGCAAGTTGAACACTCGGTAAACACCAGTTAATATTGAACATCAGTGGTTCCCAGTGAGCATCACGTTGCCCTGCAGGGGACACTCAGCAGTGTCTGGAGACTTACTTGCCTTGTCACAGCTGGAACTGGAGGGAGTATATGTCATGGGTAGAGGCCAGGGATCCTGCCAAATATTCCGCCATGCATAGGGAAGTCCCCACAAGAATTGCTTGATTTAAAACATCCATCTAGCTGAGGTTGAGGGAGTTCACTGTGTATGGTGGTAGTTTGGTTGTCACCATGTCCCTTACGTTAAGGATTTTCCAAGCAGCACAAAAAGGTACCACGTAGAATGAGCCTTATCTTCTTGTGAGTAGTGGTGCCTGAGAGACTCATGCATGCAGACATGGTTATGTATTTTAAGGTTGTCATTTCGATATTCAAGCTAGTGGTCAGTGAAGTGTAGAGTAGCATACCTCCCAGGACCAACACGGCCAATTCTAGGACTTTCTACTAAGAAAATGGCCAGGGAGGTTTAACTTGACTTTATATGTGACAAAGTTAATTACAGGATAGCTTATAATAGTGAAAATAAGAACTAACCTAAATATCCAGCAATAAGGGATCACTTAAATAGGTTATGGCAGACCCATAGAATTAAATTCCTAAAATTTATGCTGTAGCAAAAAAAAATACATATAATCATAATGTCATAAAAATGCCCAGAAAAAACAAAATGGAGACTCTAGGACACAAAGCAATAATTACAACAAACATTAGTCTCATTTTGAAAAGAAGAAAAGTATGACCATCAACCCAGCTTTGAATACAAGTCAGTTTTCTCCAGTGGGCTTCAGGCTAATGGGTCACTATCATAGAATGGGATGTTCCTTAACTAATTTAAAATTTATCATGTATAAATGATGTGATGCACTTGTACTTGCTGAATATCTATTATCTGGCTTTCTTGAGACCAGAGATTTTTCTGTTTTGGATATTTTCAGATTTTGAAGAATCTGTTTATACAGCAGGGTATGTTTCGGAGATGAAAACAAATTCTAAGCAAAATGTTAAATAATATTTGCAAAATGAGAGTAATTCTAAAAGGTCATGAGAGAGTGGAATTAGAAGCTAAGTGTAGGGGTTGGCGCTGTGGCAGAGCAAATGGAACCACCACCTGTGCTGTCAACACCCCTTATGAAGGCCGATGGGGTCCTGGCTGCTTCCCAGCAATCCAGCTCCCTGCTAACATGCCTAGGAAAGCAGTGAAGGATGTCCCAGGTGATGAGGCTTTGCATTTATGTGGGAGATGTGGAGGAAACTCCTAGCTCTTGGTTTCTGTCTGGCCCAGTTTTGTCCATGTGTGCTGCTTGCAGAATGAACCAGTGGGTGTAAACATCTCTTTTTTGTCTTTTCCATTCTGTCTCTATAACTTTGACTTTCAAGTAAATACTTTAAAAAAGTCTCCCCCACTAAAAATAAGAGAGGGTTATCTTGCCGCAAAATAAATTCGTGCATAGTTTAAAAACCCGTGAGCTTTTGAAGATCCCTTCTACACCATATCCAAATAGCTTGAAGAGAGTTTGTGTGGCACTTTTAGTAAGCCTGTATTGTGACCCATTGTGAGGTCAGACATGGATTTTTTTTTCTTTTTTTACTGGTGGCATCAAGTGGGTATTCAGGAAATTTTAACTCTCAGAGAACTTCTTATTTTAAATTTTTCAGACCAGGGATGTTCAGCCCATGGAACTACAGAAGGACTGAGTGCTGTATGAGGGAAAACAAGAATACTGATGAGCTGTAACCCCCATGTGATGTCAGGCTGTGGCTCCTGCTGTAGAAAGGCACTCACTGCTCCACAAAGCCACAGATCCGCAGCTCTGTCTCGGGGACCTGGCAGAGTCCAAGCTCTGTCTCTAGGTATCCGGTAGCGAGTTCAAGCTGCATATCAAGTTTTCAGTATACACTGCGCTCCTCTTTAATGAAGGTGATTTTAGAGAACACGTAATTACTAAAAAAAAAAAACCTGGGATTGCCATTTGGTGTCATTTCCCTCCTCCTTTAGGATTACAATCCTGAATTTCATGTTTAATTGCTTAGATTACATGTTTAGGATATTTCCGAGAGCCTTACAAGTGAACAAAGAAGGAAACCAAGGAAGCATCTCATGTAGTTAGCATACAATGTCTGATGTTTACTAATGAAAACTGTTTTCCTTCATAACTGTATAATAGGGCCATTAAAGACAATAGATACAGTAGTTTAAAAGTAATAACATTTACAACAAAGTGTATTTAATTTGAGATTGGATTGCCAGCAAATGGATGTCCTAATGAACCTTTATGTCAATGTAGCTCCAACCACATTAAGGGAGATCATTTGTATCTCAGGGAACTAAATCAACAGTGAGACCATGAAAGGCTGTTCTGGAGCGGATAGAGTCGTTGACACAGACGGCCCCGCTGATGACATTAAGCTTAAGTTGGGAAAGGGGAGATGGAAGATCCTTCTTAATTCAAGTGAATGTAGGATAGTAGGCAAACACCACCAGGGATTGAGAAGACAAAATGAAAACAAAAGCAAAGGATGCACAGGAAGGAAGAATCGTGAGTAAAGCCAATGTTACAAGGAAGCAAAGTGCTCAGGGAACAGTTGCGGGTAGAAGCAGATCTTAGTATCTCTGACCATTGCGTTAGAACACAAAATGTTCATGCCATGTCAGTTGCTCATCCGTTTAAGCACATCGTTTTCTTCAACATCTCCCCACGGACTGATAGCAGTGATGGGAAGAGGGATAGAATATGGCAAAAGGTACTACCATGGCAAGGTTCACTCGCTGCATCTCTAAGTCCACGTTCAGAGATTCAGGACATGCAAAATAGAAGATGTTGTGAGGCCTGCAATGACCACAGCTATCCTGGGCACATACAGAGTTTATATATGGCTATGAATCCCTAGGCAATGTAGCTTGAAAAATATATACAGAGTATTTCATATCTAATAAAAGTATTTGCTTTGTATTAGATACTGTGAGTAAGCTAGAGATGCTAGCAATTTCATGTGGGTGGGAGTGGGTTATAACAATGAGTTATACAGGCGACTTCAGCACTGTTGGATTTTAGCTTCCATGAGGGTCGAGGGTGTTCTAGAACAAATCTTCTCGCAGATGCTAACACATAACTGTATTTGAGCTCCTGGTGATTTCTGAAACAAGTTGGATTTTCATCATCGGGAGATCAGTTGCTAACACAATGTGGAAATATTTCATGTGGCTGAGAACCCTACGGTGTTCCCACCTTTAGCCAACAGCAGCATCTGCAATGTAGTGTTTAATTCCGGTGTAATCTAACATAATGCTTCAGGGAAACACTGTATTGTCACATCAGAGGCAAGGCTAGGCTTTAAGTCCCACCATCAACTGGTATACCTTTTGTCTTTTCCTCTTTCTTATACCTTCTGCAGAACTCCACGTCAACCATATGTTTCAAGTCCACGTGTTTGTAAACAGGAGAGCATCCCGAAGGCTGGCACCCTCACACAAGTAACTGATGAGCTGAAGGGACCAGAGAGATCTTGCTGTAAGGTAAGGATCTTGTCTCTCGCTTTTGATGCCAACTGGTATTCACTCACATGCCTGCTGCACTTTTTCCTCCTGTGAAGCTAGAGAAAAAAAGCTTTAGTAGGGTTTCATAAATGTTTTTGATGAAAATTCCGCATTTGAATAGAATGGCTGAGTGCTCACAACAGTAGAATCATCAGGATTTCTTCAAACAGGGTGTCTGTGGAGCCAGACTCAGTCCCTGCTACACAAAGAGGCAGGCCTGCCACCATGGAAATGAACACGCGTTTGAGGTTTGCTGAATCTTCTCTCTCTCTCTGCTACTCCTCTGACACTCGCTTTGAGGATGGTTGTAAATGCAAGAGAGATTGTGGTATAATTCCTCAGACTGGCATTTCTGCCCCCTAGTCACCATTCGATTATCTTCCAAATTGCTGTGTTTCAGAGAGATAAAGATTTTTTATGGCTTGCTGACTTGAACCAGGCACAGGAGCCAGCAGAGATGGCTAAGCGGCCATGCATAGTAATTCCATTGGTAAATGACAAAATCTTTGTTTGTATGACATTTCCAAAATTACTACAGAAGATGAATCTAAAACACAAAATGTCACATTTGGCATGCAAAACTATCACAATATATTTCAGTATGAAATTCGTAGAGGCGTTTAATTTAGAATGTGTTTAATAACTCTTGTCTCTCTGCATCAGTAATCCTGCCTTGAGGTTTCAAAAGATTGTCTTATTTATTCACATGGTGCTAATTTTTAACATATTTTTGGAAACCAAAATATTAAGGTTAAGTCTTTGTTGTTAATTAAGATTTTCTAATTAAACCAAAAATAATTGTTATTCCAATTAGCTTTTAAGTATGACTTGCATAAAAAAAAAACAAAGGAATTGGAACAACTTTCACTGTTCAACTATGATTTAATTCTAGAAGCACAGAATCTGTATGGAATCAGTATATATATATCTATATCTATGTACATATATAGATTCTCAGGCAAAATAAAATCTTGGTAAGATTAAATTATGCTTCTTGTTGGCTGTGCATGAATTGGTGGTACTACTAATTGGGTTATCCAGGAGAATAACTTAACTCCACAAATGCCATATCAAAAAATGTATGTTTGAGAGGCAGGGGCAGGCAGAGAGAGAGGCGAGAGGAGAGAGAGAGAGAGAGAGAGACAGAGAGAGCTCCTATTCCTTGACTTGTTCCCCAAATGCCTGTAACAGCCGGTACTACACAGCAGTCGGAGCTAGGAACTCCGTCCCAATGCCCTGTGTGGTTGGCAGCAGCCTGATCATTTGAGGAAGCAGTGCTGCCTCCATGGCTCTGCCTTGGCAGGAAGCTGAGGTCTGGAATCAGATCCAAGCACAGAGCTCAGACAATCTGATGTTAGACTTGGTCAAAAGTCCAGCCATCTACCCCCATGACACTATTTTTGCTTAAAGCTGAATGTAAGGGTTCTTCAAGGTCAGATTTTCCTGAAAACTATTAGAAATTTATGAGTAGAGACATGTGACTGAATGGCCTTTGAGTTATCAATAAATCTTGTTCACTTTGAACAGGAGTCCATTAAAATCTTATTGGTTTATATAAACCTGTCAGCACCTATTAAGAATGGAAATGGCTTACTGTTCCTTTGGTGCAGGCTGGGACCCACTTGCCCTGTTGAACATTCCTAAGTATTGTCCTCCAGTAGCAACAAATTGTTTTTAAGTTTTGGGGTAAAGCATATACAAGTGCTATTCCCCCTGCCCCTTTAAGTTTTGGTTCTCATAGGAAGCATGGGGGCAAGCTGATGTGCTGAAAGTATGAAGATAATTCCATTCAATGAAGAGTTGAGTCTGCTGTGTTAGCCTGCACAGCTCTTTGTCGTCAAAGCTAAAGACTCCACGATCGCTGTGGTAGGATATGGCTCTCTCCTTTCAAACTCCCAGTTTGAAGCTTGCACCACATTCACCCAACCCCTGTGTCTTAGAAGTCAAGCTGTGTGGTTTAAAAAATGTTGGTTTTCTGTTAATTCTATCTTATTATAATAGATGAATGGTTTCTGATGTCACAGATCATTAACATACCATGTTTAAAAATCGGCTAAACTTTCCCTCCCATCGTTGGTAGGTTTGCCTTTTGACCCCTTAATTACAAGTCCTGCATCCTTGTCTGTTATCATTGCTAATCCCTGACAATTACAGGTTAAGCAAAAATAATTCTCTGCATTTTGCTCCCTGGAGAAGCCCATCGTTGCTAATTGTGTGGTTTTTCCCAGTTCCTGCCTAATTCAAGAACTCTGTCTTTTTCATAGGTTGAACAGTCTCCACTGCCTCAGCCTCTTCAAATACAGATCAAATGCATTAGGGGCCTCAAGGACAGGGCTCCCCACGGTTTTTACCTTCTTAGAGCATCTTTGCTTGATCGACCAGGAAGCCACGTCTTGCCGTGGTGGCAAATGGAGCAGATGAAGATTCAGTCACACCCAGTTAGGCATGGTGGGAACTTTTACGACGTGGGGTTGTATTTCCATGAAAGCCTTTACGTGGTAAGCTGACCCATTGTGTCCCCACATGACCTTCTATTTATTTATCTTCCTTGTTCTCCCTAACTATCCACCTTTCATTTCCAGCTGTGAAACTTTGGATTACAGATTTTGTGTAACAAACATGAAAGATTTCATTCACACATGCGTTTTTGGTGCACATATTCCTTCATTCACCGAATGTCTGATGATACTAGCATGTGTAAGGCTTTGTACAGGCTGAAAATGTCATTCATATTTATCAAGAACTTAGTGTAGATTCTTCTTCTTAAAGGTTCATTTTACTTATCTGAAAGGCAGAGTGATAAAAGAAGACAGAGTTTTTCCATAGGTTGGCTCCCTTTCTGAATTGCTTTAGTGTCCAAGTTTGTACCGGACCAAAGCCAGGAGCCAAAAACTTCATCCAGATATGCCCCCATGGTGGCATGGTCCCCAGTACTTGGGTCACCTTTTGTTTCTTTCTGAGCTGATCAACAGGGAGTTGGATCAGAAGGGGAGCAGCCAGGACTGGCACAGGTGCTCTGAGTTGGGATGCTGCTTTCAGAGGCAGTGGCATCACCAGCTACACTACAACAACAGCCCCAAGCTCCCCAAGTTCTTCTCCTTTTTAGGAGTTACAAGATGAGGGATCACTGAAGCATTCATTTTGCACGTGATACATACGTAGATGTGAAAGCCGCCAAGGATACTGGTTTTGGGAGAGAATCAAGCTTTGTGCACGAAGTTGGAAGAACTATGAAAAAAACTCAGACAAAGAAGAGAATTTTTGATGATGAATTTCCACAGAAGCCAGTGTTGGAGAGGAAGCACTGAGTAGGAGCAGAGAGATCCCGGGTAGAGAGAGGAGAGCAGGGATATTAGAGCATTCTGTTAGCTGGAGGATTAGAGCAGGGAGGCTTAGCCATTTCTAGAATGTCAGCACTGGAGGAGTGATGTCTCCCAGTGAGCCCTGACCCTACAGAAAGGAGAGGGGCTTGAATCAATTTCTGGTCCTTCATCCCAGTGTTGATGCATTGGATACTGCACATGGGCATGCATTGCTCACACAGGATTGCCTTTTGTGCTACCCATTTGAATTACTAAAAACGTTATGCATCAATAGTGGTATTATATCTGAGTCACATTAAACAGAAAGTATTTACTCTGAAGTAAGAGGTGTGATGTTTTTCCTCATGTCCTCTTAGGTCTTTCGTTAAAAAAGTACCCTTTTGTTTAATCTTATCATGTGGTGTTTAATTAAGGGTAACAACAGCTTCTTCATTTAAATATATTTTTCAGATAGTGCATGCATTTAGTCTGGCTACTAAATGATCAGCTGAAAAAACTTAAGTGCAAAGTGTAGCTGTAAAAATGAAATATTCTGTGTCCAGCATGATAGCCTAGCGACTAAAGTTCTTGCCTTGCACACACTAGGATCCCATATGGGCACCGGCTCTAATTCCGGTGCTCCACTTCCCATCCAGCTCCCTGCCTGTGGCCTGGAAAAGCAGTCAAGGATGGCCTAAAGTCTTAAGACTCTGCATGCACGTGGGAGATGCAGAAGTTCCTGGCTCCTGGCTTTGGATCAGCTTAGCTCTGGGTACTGAGGCCACTTGGGGAGTGAATCATCAGACAAAAGATCTTCTTCTCTGTCTCTTCTCCTCTCTGTATATCTGACTTTCCAATCAAAATAAATAACGGATCTTAGAAAAGAAATATTCTGTGTAGATCTATACACAATAAATCTAAGATATCATTATTGACTTTCCATGTTTAAGAAGGAAATTCATTTTTTTACAAGATTTATTTATTTTTATTGCAAAGTCAGATACACAGAGAGGAGGAGAGACAGAGAGGAAGATCTTCCGTCCGATGATTCACTCCCCAAGTGAGTGCAATGGCCGGTGCTGCGCCAATTCGAAGCCGGGAACCAGGAACCTCTTCCGGGTCTCCCACAAGGGTGCAGGGTCCCAAAGCTTTGGGTCGTCCTCGACTGCTTTCCCGGGCCACAATCAGGGAGCTGGATGGGAAGTGGAGCTGCCGGGGTTAGAACCAGCACCCATATGGCATCCCGGCGCGTTCAAGGCGAGGACTTTAGCTGCTAGGCCATGTCGCCGGGCTTAGGACTTTAATTTTTAACCTTCATTTTCTACCCTAACCCCTTAACTTTTTAACTAAAAAACCTTGATGACACTACACCTGTTTTTAAATTTTTTAGTTTTTTTTAACTGATAATTGTGAAGTGAATTATAACATTTTTAGTAAAGCAAAATGAGTCTGCAGAAGTCACAGCTTTTAAAAATAATTGCTGAATTCTAGATGAACACATAATTGTTTGGAAGTTGACAGGGATCAAAAATTAAAAATCATCTACTGTTGGTAGCCATGTGCTAAACAGATATTTAAAGAATGTCATAGCTTAAGCCTAAGTCAAATATCTGTAAACAGCCTGAGATATGGTTTAAAGACACGTTAGCAATTGTCTTTTAAAAACTTAAATTTAAACTAGGAACAAACTCGCCTTAGGGTGACAAGATTCATGAACGACACAGCCAAGCCTCAGTTGGCTCATCTGCAGAATGGGAATGCTGATATCTACTTACAGATATGTGGGAAATGACAGTGCCTAGAAATATGCCATGCTAATGCATAGTAAGAATTTAGTCTTCTTCTATTATTATTTTTATAATTACGCTGTATCTTCAGTAGCGAAGCCCATACAGTGTTACCCACTGGACTTTTTACTTAATTAATATAATGAGTGCTTATATTTTCAGATAACTTTCAAATTAACCTTTGGTTGAGAACAATGTAGGTTAACGATTTTCTTTCTCCAATAAGTGATCCCAAAGGCCTTGTTAAGAAGCCTGGGTATATGTGAGAGGTGTGGGTCTAGGCTGGTTGAGGAGATGACTTTTCCCACGGGGCAGCCACTGACAGCCATAAGCGGAAGATGGGGACAGGTGCCAAGCAAGCATCAGGCATAGGGCAGTCCCAACACAGAAGTCTTTATCCCCATCGTTTGCCTAGAGAAATTCCAGTACTATGATGGCAGTAGCCAAGAAAGTAGTTAACGCTTTTTCAAAAAAAAAAAGTAGGGTCCAATCGGCACCTAATTGTTAACTACATTCTCTTTATACATTTTAATCAAGAACAGAAACGTTTTGAACATGGATCTAAGCTACAGAAATATATTCAGATTTTTTTTGAGCCACATCTGTCTGTAACTATCTCAAATCGCAAAGCCATATACAGTGTTTTTCTCCCTGGTATTGTCTATTTAGATGTCCTTCCTCTAGGCTCCTCTTACTAGAGTATAGACCACGTTTCTCAAGAGGTTGTGGGAGCTGTGAAATAATGGTCCCTGGCTACAGAGGTTAGAGATAAAATGACAGGAGGGACCAGGAACTGGAGAGGTACCCCAAGGACATCCTCAGATACAGGATCAGAATTGGTAAGGGAGTGGAATCACAGGAGTGTGTATAGTGTTCTGAATTGAATTAAGTCTGCAGGGAAAATAAGGACCAGCAATTTTCCCAATAAAATCCATTTTCCCTTCCTGACAGCTTCAACAAAGAATGTCTTGAAACAATATGAAATGGCAATCCCAAATTTATTCTCCTGTGTCACAAACAAACAAATAATTACCTCCTGCCACAGTTGAGGAAAATGTACTCTTTAACAGTCTGACAAAATGTCACTGAATTACATCTATCCCTCGGTATCACCTAGAAAAAAATACCAGATTCCCCAAAGAAATCCTCTAGGCTATTTTGCGTTCAGTGCGTGTGAGAAAAAGTACAGAATTCAGGACCAAATAAAAACAAGAAAGCCACCAAAACATGCAGAATTTGACAGGAAAGAGAAGTCATCAGAGGCTTTTTGCTTTCAGAATAAAAATGTTGTTCCTCAAAATCATTGTTCATTCCGCTGGGCTCTACCCAATCACAGTCAGTTTTCTCACTAACCATACACTTCTGCCTGCCAGTCACTCTGTTGGCTGTTTGGGGGAGATTGACACGTGAAACAGCATGCTTCCGACCAATACGCTCTCATAGTCATAGGAATACGCTCATGGCAACACAGTGGTGTGCACTGAGTATGCCATTGATAGAGGGTTTTTTTTTTTAAAGATATTTGCTTCAATATATTTAAAACACAAGTCTGAGACGTCTTCAATAGTTCTTATTCTGTGAGTTGGAAAGAATGGCTTTACCAAGATCCTAGAATGCATGGCTTTTTACATGGAAAGACTTGCTGGTCTACTGTGCAAAATCTAGGAATTGAGAAGGCATGATCAAATCAAAGGGTAAGTGCTAGTTACAGGATAAGGACTGGGTCCAAAGAAAAATACCTAGACCCCCGTGAAATTCCATTGCTGATGGACCTTGCAAAGAGAGTGCCATTTTATAGCATGATGGATGCTTTACTTTGGCATCAAGCTGGGCCAGGGGCCAAACATAGAAGGTTAAGTGAAGGGGTTACTTATCTAAGGGTTTGATGAACTACCTAAATGAGGTGATGGATACATGGGTAATGTGAAAAGCTTTACTCCAGACATGTGCAGTATCACTTCTTGACGTGGTTGTCTTGTCTGAAATAATTGCACATCTTAACATGAGTCTTCATGCATTGTAAGATAGAGCCGGTAAAATAACATATGTTAATTGATTAGTTAAGTCTCAGTTACCTCAGGTAAAATGAGAGAATACCAGCTCTCTCGTTTGAGCCAATGAAGAATCATATGAAGCTATGAACTCTAAAAGTAGGTTAGTTTTGAATATTTTGTTAGAATTCTTTGAATTATTCCTTAGATTTCTTAATGGAAACTTCAGTGTTACCTAATATTCACCCTGCACATATCTCGAATTGAACAGTGCCTTCTTTGTGGATAGTACTTCCTCACAGACAGAATTAGCTGCCAACATGCACCTTTTGATTTTTTTTCTTCTAGGGACTAAATTCTGGTTATATCAGTTCACCGACGTACCATAATCAGGAATCAAAAGCCTGTTTTATTTTTA